CGAAAAGTTCGTTAACAGAGGCGTTCGTAACCCGAGGTACCACTGTATTCATAAAACACCTTATCTGAACATAATTCAAGAGCTGTTTGCTTCAACCAATAAATGCAATCTTTTACCAGATTTATAAGATCAGGAACACAAATCAAAGACAAGCCCACATTCATGTTTTCAGACATGCTAGTACATCCATTTCATGACAATTGCCTATTATATTCCTGAACGTTTTTGCATTTATAACTTATTTTGCATATTTAAAAAAGAATGTGCTAATTCACTAGTAACTGAGCTAGTGCACCATCTTACTCTTCCCTAAAGACAATAAGGGCATATGGATTGTCTTTTAAAAGTAATCAAATATGAAACTACAGTTGGAAAAATTGCTTCACTGCATTTGATTTCTGAAGTACCCAATACAATTCTTAATCTATTCTGCTGACTATAAAAATAAAATGTATCCACTAAAATTAAAGTTTCAACAGAATATGTCATTACCTTGCGTAATTATTCTGTCAACTAAACTGAAAATATGTTGTAGATATATTCCTGCTGATAGTATCTATACAAACACATATCAGTACATATCTAACACTGTTTGTACCAGCTGGTTTAAACATATAATATTATATAATGGAATATTTAATTTGCGCCACGAGATTTGTTTTGCATTATACTTTGACTCTATGTGATACAAGGAAAACACTTATTCTTATACATAGTTCAAATATCTTTTTGCTTTTGTTATACTATGTCCACTAATGGTCTACTATGAGCAAGGAAACATTGAACATTAACAGATCATGGAAACATATTAAAGTTATATAGTATTTGTACTCATAGCTACTTCTCCTTTTCAGTTAAGGCATGATCTACTGTAACTTCTTTCAGTTCTCCTCCTCAAACAACTCTTAAGAACATGTGTGTTCAGTATGCTGTGGTTTCCCACATATCCTTTAATAATCTGTAAGCAGCAACGTAAGATTCAAATAGCATAAATAATCACCACTGAACTTTCTAATAAATGATCACTTTGTGTATTGTCGAAGGCTTTCACGGCCGGCAGATGATGGCTGGTGTGGGTCTTTCGGGCTGTGTGGCCGTGTTCTGGAAGTTTTGTTTCCTAACGTTTCGCCAGAATCTTTTCCAGAATCTACACTAGCACTTGACATAGTGAGGCTAGATAGCGTTTCGCCAGAAACGTTAGGAAACAAAACTTCCAGAACACGGCCACACAGCCCGGAAGACCCACACCAGCCAAATGATCACTTATTGAACTTTGGCATAAACAGAAAACAATACAAATCCCCCCTCCCCAAAAACACGTCAGAGGCAATTCAAACACTATTCCGATCTGTTGTTCCCCTATTGTGTTCCTAGCTAGTCATGGCTACAGCATTGTTGTACACTTCCTTTTTCCATTTTGTACAGCACAAGACAATTGTACACATGGACCAACTTTATTTTGTTGATTTGCATAAATGTGTAGCCCGTTTTTGGCAGATGGCTCAGAGCAACTGCGATTTTGCAATTTTTAAAAAAACTGTACAATTCAGATGAATAGAAAAACAATTCCTTCTCCTTAACAGAGACAGTTGGCCAGAACAACTAACAGCTGTGTAAATCTAGGACTCAGAAATGTAACAATACCTAAAAGAATACTGTTAGATACAACACAATGTAGTTTGTGTTGTAAGTTTGAGATAAATGGGACTACATTAAGCGCTGCAACTTATACCTACTGAAAATGAAATTATCAGTCAGCAGTGTAATGTAAAGCACCCTGCTTGAGTTCAGAAGAATCTACACTAGCACTTGACATAGTGAGGCTAGATAAGAATCAGTTACTCCTACTAGCTTTTTGAGCAGCTGACTGCTCTTTGTCAGCCTGACAGTACAATTCCCTTTAACTCTCACTGCAGTTTAAATCTGGCACTTATTTTTTGCACCTTCCATTCTTTGTCTGGGAAACTCTGGCTTCCAATGTAATTCTTACAGGAAGGGAAGCTTTCTTATCCAACAAGTTCTTCCAAGCAGGAATCTACTTAATTATTGGAACAGGATAATTCATTCCAGCTAATTCCCTAGAGTAACATCAATTAAAAGCAACAGGGGTGGATGGTTAGCACAGTTTTTTCCATACCAATGTTGTCCATTACTTTCCTAGAGAGCTGCTGTTTTTTATGTGGTAAGTAATTATAACTTTTTCCTTTATTCTATAGTTCCTTCTTACTGATATTTATTGGAGTGGCATATAATTCAAATCATAGGAAAGCAGCAATCTAATTTCTCCCATAATTTATGAACCGGCCTAGAGACACCTAAAAACAGAGCCTCCTCATTCTCTTTCCAAACAAATCTGGCTTGTGATGAATCCCAACTCTATCTCAATGAGTTTTCATAAAAAAATAATTCAACTCATTAAGATTATCTTGGCAGATTACAGCAAGAATGAACTCAGTCACAACATCAAGCAGATCAACAGTATCACAGTGTGATGCAGCCATAAAATATGTGGAGGGGATCATCTTTCCTTAAAACAACATTAGAAAATGAAGATTCAGCTTCCCTTAAGGCCTCAATGTAATTCTTTACAGTTGGGAATTTAGCTTTTCATCTTAGCTGAAAGAACCAAGCTGAGATTTCCTTCCATAAATCAACGTTATTAAATCTCCATCTTTGTTCTAGTTGTTGTACACTGCTATGGGTATATTCCCATAAGCGGACAGGTGTGCGTGTGCCATTCATGAACATTTAATAGCAATGAAAAACTGAAGAAAGATGCATTAAGCACGTCAAACTACAACGATAGCTGGGGGTCACACAACATGCTATGGTTGGGTTAACAAAACATTAATTCCTCTGTCTGCATAATATACTATATTCAAACAAATAAATCATATTAAAGTTTAAGGTGTTTGCACTGTTCATACAACATTCTAAAGCAATGACTAGGTTCCTACATGTTGAATCATAAACCATCCAACCCCATTTTAGTCTGGGGTTGTGTGTTCCCAATCTGTATGTCTTAAACCACAGCTTTTCCAACTTTGAAAAAGCCTAGTCAAAACAATGTTTCTCAAAAAGACTTGCAGCATACACTATATTTGTTCAGGTCTAGCAAAAGTTTCTTCCTCCTATATAGGATGAGCTATACATTGCATGAATTTTGGTTTAAAGCACCAAGAGTTACTTCACAAATCACTTCCTCCCTAATAAATGGTTAATCTTAAACTCATTTATACACTGAATTAAACACAAAATAGGCATTATTCCATCCAACTTCAGTGCTACTTTTGGCATGAACTTTAAAAGCTATTAAGCCATTGAAAATTACCAGTGGAAGTAGCTTTTTAAGTATAGGGGAAAAAGAATGAACTTACCAACACAGTCACAGCATTCATCCCAAAGTGTGCCTAGGCAAAGCATGCACTCCTTACAGCAAGAACAGTTTCCTTCACCAGGTCGGCACTGACACAGCTCCTGGATAATGTGTTAAATAAATAAATACATACATACATACGTACATACTGAAAACATACCCACATTACATTAGATCTTTCTGTATATGCAGCATCAGTGAAAGATTATGATTTGTATTTATGGTTGTTAAGTAATCAACCTCTGCATGAGGCAATCATGCGAACTCCTCTACTACCAGGAGGTGCCAGAATGTAAGTCCCTGTCCTGGCTGAATTTATTAACTCCCCGCCACAGTCACTTATAAGGTCAGCCCAGCCTTTGGATGTGGGTCTCCAAGCCCCAGTTACCTTCATTCTAATGCCTTGGAAAACAAATTGGACAAAAATATAATGAACATTAATTCCATCTAGTACAGAAAGGCAACAATCCCGAGTGTCAAATAGCCTAATTATAAAATTCCTTCCTTGATCTCGCGCTAAATAATGGACACAGGCTGGTAGCAATCAATTGCAATTGTAATTGTAATCAAGGAAAGAGGGATAATTTGCCAACTATCTAAAGAAGACTCTTAATTTATTTCCATGAACTTGTACAGGAAAAATACTTCCCTTCCCCAGTCTGTCTCCCTTAAATCTGGCCACTGCAGGAAAAGCAGCCTTCTGACTAGACCCCAAGTTATTACACCGAAACATACAGCAGCACATGCAGCTCACCCTTAAGCAATGTGTGAACTCAGAAAATAGCTACCAGGCATCCTTTTTGTACTGTTTTGTGACCCACAAAGGGAATTCCTGTATTACAGGGATCCGTACTTTAACAAGCAGAGTGCTTTAAACACAATGATACAGCAGTGGGACATACTTTTTAAGAAAAAAAAGAATTGTGTCCATAAAATCAGAAATTAAGTCTATAACTGAAATGCAGCTCCTTATATTTTAGTCTGAATAAACACTTATAAAACCTACAGTTAACATTTGCTTTAAAAAAGAAAAGGCTTATCTTTAAAAAAAAACAACTGATATGGGGGAAAACATGGCACAAGCTTATGTACTATTTTTCTATCCTTATCCAACTGAAAAATAAATGGAGAAAATTAAGGGTTCTCTTTCTGTATTAAATAATGTATATATACATGTATATATATGTATATATATATGCATGCATGTTTGTGCATCTGTATCTGTATTTGTATCTATATCACATGAAGAGAAAAGGAACTCTGAACAATTTTTGCAATGCATCCATACATTCTGACACTATTTAGGTAATCAGTCTGAGGAAAAAGTACTTTCCAAAGAGGAAGGAGCAGAAGATATCTCTCCATACTTTTTGCTGTATTCTTCTCTGCTATCTTATATAGTACTATTTATTTATTTATTTCCTTTAATTTATATAGCTGCCCATCTCAAATATGTGACTGTGGGCAGTTCACAAGTTAAAACAACGAAAACCAAAGTCCAATAAATAAAATTAAAAACAATTAAAACATTTAAAACAATTAGCCAGAGATATAAAAAAATGCAGGAGAGTGCCAACCAACAGCTCACAAACAAATACAGCCATCTCAGAGGCTCCCCACCTCCATGGGATCCCCAGGCCTGATGTCACAGCAGGGACTTCCTAAAGGCCAGCAGGTTTGGGGCCAGTCTAACCTCAGGGGAGATACATTTCCAGAGAGTGGGTGCCATGGCAGAAAAGGCTCCCGTCCTAGGTCCCATCAGATGAAACTCCTCCAGGGATGGGACCCGTAACATGCCCTTTCTGCCAAATCTGATGAGAGAGGGGGTATCTGAAACATAATCTCTTTGATTGCAAAGAAAGTGCGCACAGAAACATTAGAATAATCTAGATTTTTTTGGTGTATCTATGATCAAGCAGCAATGAGCTAATAATGTTCAAACAAAAATATATGAACTTGGAAGTTCCAGAAAATGGAGTAGGTTAGGGTCACTGATGAAAGTATGAATGTGAGAAAGAAAGATGATTATATGCTCGTTGATTCAAAGAAAGCATATAACATGAATGCGCTTGAATTGTGAAATGTTTTGCATGAATATGGAGGTGAAGATTGGTTGCTGAATGTGGAAAAAGTGGTATATGATGGCAGTAAAGCATGACTGAGAATGAATTGAATGCTTAGTGAATGGTCCAACATTAAGAACGGAGTAAGGCAAGAATATGTAATGTCCCCTTGGTTGTTCAATGTATTTATGTACTGTATAAATGTATAGCAAAAGGCAAAAGAGTTATAGGATCTAAAGAGAAGCAAGAATATAAGGAATGACTTGTGGTGGATGAGAACATGAAAGAACATGTATTTTGTAGGAAGATGAAGTAATATTATTGGCTGAGAACCCAAATGATTTCCAGTGAACATTAGATAGGTTGCAGATCCAATGAAGAATACAGAACTGAAATTTAATATATCAAAGACCAATGTAGTTGCATTTGACAGGGAAAAGAGAATGAACAATAGCATGTTATACATACAATTAAACCAAGTAGATGAATTTCTTCATCTTGATAGAATGTATACTAATAATGGGAAATAGGTGGAGAAATTTTAAGACATACAAATTCTGGTAAAACTGTCATGGGTAGAATGTGATCTGTTGTGAGAAATGAATGTGTTGTTTTTGCCCACTTTGTTACATGGAAATGAGAGTTATGTCAGGAGAATCAAAGAAGTAAGCTGAATGCAGTGGGAATGGGGTTCTTAACAAATGTTTTAAGTATGAATGTGGACTGAATGCAAAAGTAAGTACTAGTATCAAAAAAAGACAGTAAGGTAATTTGATTACACAGACAGAATGAACAAGGATCAAACAAAACAAATATGAAGAGTGAATGGATTGAAGGGGAAAAGGATGAATGAGAAAGTCATGGTTGGATGGACTTGACGAGATTCTTAAAAACTGAGAAGGAATGTATAAAGTGGAGTATGGATATGGTGGGGGCAACGCAGGCTTATAAGATTAAAAAAATATGAAGTGGTATACTGGATGGTGTTGATGTAAATTAAAGGTTTACTGTTTATATTTGACACCAAAACCAATTAATGAAATGGCACATGTTGGAAATATGGTTTGAAATTGGCTGATTATATGCATCTGGGGAGGTAGACAGAAAACTTTTTTGGAGAAAGAGATTAAAAAAACAGTTTCTATAATTAATTAATTTTAATTCTATACCCAGTAAAAGAAATAATAATAATTTTTTTTCATCCACAGTTACTCAAAATGCACCAATGATATTTAATTTGCTAATAGTACTGATACTGTTGGTTGCAGGGAGAATATAGTCAACTTTGTTTAAAGGTTTGATGAATAAAATAGTAGGAATTCTGACAATTATTGAGATAATTAATGTTATACAACAAAATTGAGCATTTTTGAATGGAGTTCATTTTCTGAAGATCAGGAAGTAAATTAAAAATACAAAAATAAATATTTTATATCTTCTATTTCTATGCCAGCTGTCATTCAAAGCACCCACAAGCTGTGTATAAAGTTAAAAACACTGAATATAAAATTATAGTACCCAATAAAACACCTAAGTCAGTGTTGTCCAAACTTGGCCACTTTAAGATGAGTGGACTTCAACTCCCAGAATTTCCCCCATACACACAGCCGCTGGGGGTGGTTTGTGGGCATGGGATACACTCTCTTTTTGGGGGCCGCGTTT